AGATAGTTGGTATCACAAGATTTCTTGTTACATGGCCATTTGAGACTCCCTCTCAGAATTTGTCCTCATGCATATTTTTATCTAGAAAATATTTAAGAAATTAATTTCATGAAGAACTGAGAGCATGGAGGAGAAAAGGAGGGATATATGTGACACAGTGACCTTTGAGCACCCATAGTGCTCTAGCCTCCTGTACACAGAAAAGGAACTGATTCTTGCCTGAGGATATCTTATACTAATACTAGAGGCCCAGTGCACAAAATTTGTGCACTGGGGGGCAGGGGGCGGTGGGGAGTTCCCCTCAGCCAGGCCTGCGCCCTCTCACAGTCCAGGAACCCTTGGGGATGTCCAATTGATGGCTTAGGCCCTGGCTGAGCGATGCTCCCCCTGTGGGAGCACACTGACCACCAGGGACAACTCCTGCATTGAGCGTCTGTCCCCTGGTGGTCAGTGTGCATCATAGCCACCAGTTATTCTGGTTGTTCCACTGTAAAGGTTGCTGGGCTTTTATTATATAGATGGATACAAAATAGTTAAATCCTTCCTTTATTGCAATGGGTAGTTGATTAGCTCTGCCTCACTGCTGCAAGTGTGGGCGACAGGACCATCTCAACCAAGAGTTGAGACCTTGAGTCAATGCAAGCCTTAGTAACTTATTGGTTTTCTGACTTACTGCAGTATAGGCCAGTGGTCGGCAAACTGCAGCTCACGAGCCACATGCGGCTCTTTGCCCCCTTGAGTGTGGCTCTTCCACAAAATACCAACTTCTGTGCATGGCCCACGAAGTTTCATTCGCACTGTACGTGCGCACCCGCACATGGTATTTTGTGGAAGAGCCACACTCAAGGGGCCAAAGAGCCGCATGTGGCTCGTGAGCCGCAGTTTGCCAACCACGGATATAGGCTACTGCAAAGCAGGGCTCTTGTCAGTCTTTCAGATGTTGATTTACTCCCATCACAGGCAAGCATGTGATTGGACTATCTTTTTAACTGTGCTTTTGTCTCTCTCCAGATCATTCTGGTCTTGACTACCTTCCATGTACCACTGGTAATTATGACTTTCGGACAGTCCAAGCTATATCGAAGGTGAGATGCATGTGGTTGGGGCACTGACTGAATACATTGTGAATGTAAGTTGCCCACTTTTCTAGGCATGATGGAGTCCAGCAGTTGATTAAAGAGCTCTTTCAGCCATCTTAAATTTTCATCAAACTGTCACATTCAGCACACTTAATATTTACTTAACCTGAAGAAATATGAAAAGAAATCTAGTTCCAAGAAGATTAGGTTGACCTGACTAAATGGGAAAGCAGTAAAGGCAGATGGAGAGTGTGTAGGGGTGTGTGTTTTATTAATTTAAATGGATATTTATTTTTTGGAAGGTAGGATGGAGTTCAACAGTCTTTCTACTTATTATAAGCATAGAATGGTTTTTATATCTCTGAAGTAACAATCCTCACTATACCTTCCAAGTAAATGTATTTATGTAACACTTTGTACTTTTCAAGTAAATATATTTATCTAATCCTCTGAGCCTCGTTTATCTAGATTGTTTCTAGATCAGAAGGAGGTTCTCAGGTCAGACCTACCAAAGTGCCTTATAGTGTTTACACTGGTAACGATGGTGGCAGTGTATGTTTTGGAACCATACTGTGACAATTACCAAGTTTTACATGTGTCTTCTCAGAGGTACAGCTTGGTTAAATAGTAGGCTCTTTTCCTTAACTGTAAGATGCAACACCAGCTCACTCTCAGAAGTTGTTGATAGTCTTCTCAATCATTTGTGCCCGCCTCATTTTCCCCCAAGGGACCCCCCCCCCAAAAAAATATAGCATCCTAGCAGATAACATAGAAACTATTCTCAAGGCCAACGGATTTCCCAGCAGCCATCGTACTCTCTCAGGGGCCCAGATACAAGTGAGCCTTTGGTGAATTTCTGAGATGGCCCCTTCTCCAGTAGGTATAATCTTGATTGCTGATTCTGAGCCTGGAGCCAGTGTTCTCGGCCCTTCACCACAGTGATGTTGACTTAAAAATAGGCTAAGAAGGAATTGCCATTTTGGAATCGCTGTAAGCTCCACAAAGCCAAGCTTTTTCACTAACTTGGGGTTCCCAGCAGCTAGCCAAATGACTGATACGTAGTAGTAGGCAGGCAGTCCATACTAATTGAATGAATGAATGCCTTGGCTTCTCTGTAGTTTTTAAACTGATAATTGTTTATAAGGATTGACTATATTATAGAATCATAGTGCTAGAAAGGGCTAGAATTTATAGGTGATTTTGTTTATTCAATTAGAATAGTAATTGAACTATTTCAGACAGATGAAAAATATCCTGTTTGGGGAGGGAAAAAAATGTATAAAAAGTTGTAATTTCATAACTCTTTCCAATGTTTAAGGAATCTTACTGTCATAAAATTTTTCCTTCTGATAGTTTTTCTTGGCAAATTATCTTTCATAATAACAGTAGTATATTATAGCCTGGCCGGTGTTGCTCAGTGGTTGAGCATTGACCTATGAACCAAGAGGCCACTGGTTTGATTCCCGGTTAGGGCACATGCCCTGGTTGTGGGCTTGATCCCCAATAGGGGGGCATGCAGGAGGCGGCCGATCAGTGTTTCTCTCTCATTGATGATGTTTCTATCTCTCTAGCTCTCCCTTCCTCTTTCTCTAAAATCAATAAAAATCATGTTGTTGTTTTTTTAAAAAAGCAATATATTATATAACATTTGGAAATTTTAAAGGAAAAATTTCACCCTAACATCAAGTGTAATCTTTATGTACAGTTTATCTTGATTTTCCCCTTTTATGTTATATAATATGGCTACATAGTTTGGGGAAGCAACATGATACAGTGTAAAGTTGCCAGGTTTTGGTGACAAATAGCCCTGGGATTGAATCTCAGCACTATCATTTGCAAACAGAATGAGCTTGAGCAAGTTACTTCACCTCTCAGAGTCTTTTTGTTATCTGTAAAAGAAAGATGATAACAGTGGCCACCTCAGAGCTGTTGTGACTTATGCTCTGCAGTGCCTGGGCTGGAGTAAGAACTTGGGGAGGTTAGCTGCTGCCATGCCAGCAGGAGCGAGGGCACATAGCCAGACTGTACTGATACTGTTGTGCCAGTTGTTAAATGAATTCAAAGCCTTCTGTGCCATTGGTAAAAAGTGCTTGTCTGCCTCCTAGGCTTCTGGAGATGCACGCACACCCCTGCCAACATGCAAGTGCCATGACCCATATCCACTCTGATTGATATTTTCCATATCCCCTCTGCTCGTTACCCATCATTTTTGTTAGAGTGACGGAATTTACTAAGTCATTATTCTCTTGGACACTTAGGTTGCAGCTAATTTCTCACTATTACTAATGCTGTTGTGATAAATATGACACATATATGTGCCAAGAGAATGCTAATTTCCATTTCATTTTTTAGTAGCAAAGGAAAGCCTCATTTATTATTGACCCCTAGAGGTTTTTATTTGTTTTTTAATCCTCACCTGAGGATTTCCATTGGTCTTTAGAAAGAGTAGAAGAGAGCGAGGAAAGAGGGAGAGAGAGAGAAACATTGATGTGAGAGAGACACGTGTGGGCTGACACTAACCACGGAGCTAAACCGGCCAGGGTGACCCTAGATGTTTTGAAGGCTATTTACTAAGCTCCTCAGCTTCCCCAGGTTGAACTCTCTCCTGTACTTGTTGCTTTAGCCACTTTAATGCTTGTCTTCTGAATTCTTTACATTGCTGTTTAAGTGGGTGACCAGTCAGACCCATAGGGAGGGCAATGTGTTTTCATGACTTTTCCCCATCCTTTTGCTTTTCAGTATTGTGCTTACTTTGAGACTGCCCCAAACAAAAACCAAATGGTTTAAACACCTACCACCATCTGACTCAGCCCTTTTCACCCTGAATCTGTCTGGCCTGTGAGAAACCCCCAGCACACACTCGACCGGGAGAGCAATCCTCTGTGTCTGGGATAGAATCATATTCACAGGGAGGTGCTGTTTCTGCAGGGCACACAGCAGTTTGGGTGTTTGTTTCTATGAGGTCCTTTTGAATATGAATTCTTTCCTCCCTGCTGTGAAGGGAAAGGTCTTCCAGAGGTTAGGTGGAAACTGTAAATATGCCAGTCTCCATCTGGCCCGGCCTGATGTGACTCATGTCATTGAACACGCCAGCCAAGAGGCACATGTTCCTTCAGACACGGGAAGGGAGGGAGCAGTTTGATCAGAATGACTATGCTGAGGTTGCCCAAGTGAGAAATAAAGTAAAAGCCTGTTGAGTCCACTCTGAAAACTGGTTTCTCACAGCTTTAATGATTAGACTATTTATTGGATTATCTTCTTCCACTAACTCGCATGTGGTCAAAGGTTTATTTGAGATTCAAATAAAGGCAGCTGGTCACATGCCACCTGCTCTGAGCTGTGCTGCACGGAAGCTCCAGAGAATAGCAGGAAGCTGCCTCTGTTACTCGTGCTGAGTTCATAGACCTTGACCTTTAGGGTGTGAAAAAGAATTGTTGAAAGGTTTGGGAAATAATAACTAAAGTTCCTAGGCATTCATGATTAGGTTAAAACAAATAGTATGTTAATGTCTTCAATTTAAAGGACTTATGTTTGAATGGTATAAATTTCGATTCCCTGTTAAGGAATATTAATAGATTATAAAGTACATTTGCCTCTCACTTTGCAGATACTAACTTAAAAAGGAAACAGGCCACCTAGTTAGGATGATAATTTGGTTTAAGGCAATAGGAAATGTTTTGTGCCTTTTTGTTCTATGACCCCTTGAGTGTAACTTTTCACTGTGAGATCAACTTAGTGAAGCACATGTTCGCATTATTCGACACCAGAATCCTGTACCTAATTACTAAAACTACTGGGCCATTTTATTTGCTATTTTTATTTCCTACTGAGAGTTGTTCAAATTTTGGAAATTAATAAGAGGATCTCTAAAAGATTTCACATTGAAGTTTATTCCATAGTTGATGTGTTTTTCATGTTACTGAGAATTTTTTAAAAAGGATACCTTAAAGGTATACAACAGATATTGAAGGAAAGTATAGTAAACCAGCTCCTCCAGGGCATCTTGTATGACAGCTTTTTCAGTGATGTGCTGGGTTCAGCTTTCACTGCTTCAGACAGCTGGGGTGAAAAAAGAGTCTGAAGTATAATTGGGAATTCATTTTACCTATGGATTGAAAATCTGCCAGTTTTGCCTGTCACCGATTTTAGTTCTATGTCCTTTGGCACATTTTAATAAGCTATATTCTCCCTAACTGATCTTTTAGCTGGAAATCTCAATGCAGTCAATTCTCATTCTTCACAATAGTTATGTTTTCCATAGTTCCCATGAATACTGGTTAGTGAATCCTGAACCATTGTTCCTAGAGGAAAATTCTGGGGTAGGTTCTTATAAACCTCTGATCACAACATTCACTTTCATCAATTGATCAGCACATCACTTTGTTTTATGTGTGTTTCTTATTACTGTACATATTGTTTGTGGGGTTTTTAAAATATATTTTTATTGATTTAGAGAGGAAGGGGAGAGAGAGAAACATCCTTCCTATATAATAAAAGACTAATATGCACATTGTCCCCTCAACTGGGAGTTCGACCAGGGGGCAGGGCTGGCTGGCCAACCACCCATGGCCCCTCATCCGCCCCCTCTCCTGATCGGGGCGGGGGGGTGGGCCAGCAGAACCCCACTATGCACGAATTTGTGTACCGGGTCTCTAGTAAATGATAAGAGAGAATAACTGATTGGCTGCCTCCTGCACACCCGCTACTGGGGATTGAGCTCACAACCTGGGCATGTGCCCTGACTGGGAATCGCACTGGTGACCTCTTAGTTCTGGGTCGATGCTCAATTGCTGAGCCATACCAGCCGGCCTAGTATATATTGCCGATTCATTAACATTGAGCTCACAACCAACTCGTGTCTGAAAGAAGCTTATCTAACTGGCATATTTTCTTCGTAAGGACATCAAAGCCTTCTTGTGCTCAGGGGCTCTGAACAGCACTTCAACACTATGCTTGGGGCCATTTTAAACAGCAAAATCACCCGTAAAAAAACACAAAAATGCAAAATGCAAGGTACTAAATAGACCATGATAAAGACACTTATTTACAGTGTAAAAGCTGAAATACGAAGGCAGCTCGTCCCCTTGTTGGACCTCAGCTGGGGACGTGTGCACTGGGTGACCCTGCACATGTCTGCAGATCACTGTGGAAGGGCCATGAGTGTGGATGTAGGTTACAAAGAAATGTTAGTGAGGAGGCAGAGTCACAGATAGAGAATCTGAGAATAAGAGAATCAGCTGCACACACTTTCCCGATTAGTGAAAAGTACAAAATTATAATTATTTTCTTTAGAGTTTTTTGTCATGCCTGTTGTTTCTATGTTGCAATTTATAGTGACTTACTCGTGGCAAAAATGAACTAAAGGAATGGAGAAATGGTTAGGCTTGAAAGCCGACCAAATAAGGCTATCTGGGTTGGTTTGATTGTTGAGAAAAATAATATGCAAGATTCTCTGAGATACTGTAGGACTCTCTTGCTGTTACTTCTCATTAAATGCCTGCAGGTCAAATGCTTGATGTCACAAGTTCCTATATATGAAAAGTGCAGAAAAAAGGGTGTAAATTCTAGGCTCTGGGTGTTTGGATTGAGTGTCAACATGTGAGTCTTTTGGAGAAACCCAATTTCCCGTGCTTCATCTCGTTAAGAATGCTGACACTGCATCTTACCAGAAGTCCATGTGATGATTACTTTTTTTCATTTATTTTAATGATTTCTAGCTTTTTCTTGTTCTTTGGGGGACTTAGGTTCTATTCCAAAAATATTTATATTCTGCCATGACTTTCTTGAGTTATAAACAGGTGCATACTCTTATTAATGTTTATACCAAAGATATATGCAAAAGTGGTCCTTTATTTTGGTAACCAGAAAGAGCAGAGATTAGGGTTGATATATAGAATTATTAAAAAGACTGGTTTCTAAAGCAGATGGTTTCATAGGGTTTTATTAACTTTTCATCTGACTGCTGCTCATTGCTCTGTTAATTACCATCTGGAATTTGAAAAGTAGATTTTTTAAGTTGTTTCATTGATGTCCTCTTCATGATATATGTTGTACGCTGATAGAAAAGAAAACTTTTAAATAAAGGGTTTTGTTAAAATACAGGAGTGGGCAAAAGTAGGTTTACAGTTGTTCGAATGGAAAATAATACAGTAATTAATAAATAATAATACAAGAATAAACTCGGTGCTTCCCATACTCAACTGTAGACCTGCTTTTGCCCAGCCCTGTATATCCCTGTGCCCAGCGTGGCCTCAGCAGAACCTCCCTTCCGTGCCAGCAGGTTGATCCATTGCGCTCCATATGTTTAACTGGCTACAGTACCAAAGTGCTGTAGCTGATGACTTTTTGCCTTGTTCATGTTGCTTTCTTTTTCTGAAGGGCAGGGATGTGCTTGTTGTGCCAAGTTCTTAAAAAGCCAGCAGACTTGCCAACAGGTTTGTGGAGGCTCCCGGGGGATATGGGGCAGGAGGGGAGAATTGTAAGGTGGCGATAATCGAGCTGTTGCCAGCCCCTTTGAAGGTTGTCTGAGCTGCTGCTGACATTTACACTGAGGAGCAGGAATTGTTTATACATCTCTTGGCCTGCTGTCAGGAAGATAGGAACTCTTCTTGTACTTCAAAGCCAAAAAGAGGGGGCGGGGGGAGATATGGAGGAATCTGATGGATAAGTGGTGCCTGGTCCCTCTTTTATTTATCTAGGAATTTTCTGTGTGTGCTTGCTAAGGGATGGGAAGTTATTCAGACAACTTAAAGTCACACGTAGTTTGCTTTAGCATTCTGTCAGGGACCTAAACAAACACTCCAAGATAATTCCCTCCTGTGTCTCCAGTTTCCTCTTAGCTGATTGGTGCTGCCAGGCCACAAGCCCTGGCAAAACAGAGGAAGACTGCAGTTTATAAGGAAAAAACTCCTCACAGATCATTACAAGTTGTCCCTAGTTTGGAGCTGAGAGTTAAGAGAATTGGATAATAGCTTCAATTTTGCCCTTAATTAACTGGTTGGCTTTTGATAAATTGCCTCCCCTTGAACCTCCTCGTCTGTGAAATGAGGGAGTTGGACAAGATGTTCCCTTCAGTCCCTCGCATTTCTCATGTTCTCTGCTTTTGTGATTATTTGTCAAGATGGTACCATCTTTTACATCATAGTCTACAGTGAAGACCACTGCACATTTATCTTTGGCAACTAATTTGCAATACACAGTGGTCTTCACTGATGGACATTCATGAATATTGAGATTTTGCATTCTACCACGTTTTTCTCTGTTGCTTTTTAAGAGAATGTCACATAGTATTAATCCTGTCAGAGTTACACAGCTACTGATTCTTAGGCTTGTATTTTTCAAAATCTAAACATGGGATTGAATCCCTCTCACAGATATTGTTGAAATGAACTTCTGGGAAAATCTCTAACAACCCGAGAACTGGCGTTAAGTTGGTTTGTTTCCCTACCTGCGTTTTGTGTGCTGTCTGCAGTAGAGACTTGTGCCCAGGAATGGTATCCTCTGGGGGAAACTTGCAGGCTCCTTCTGCTCAACTCAGCTTTATCATGAGGACTCTGCATTAATAGATCAGTTAGGCGGCCATTAGCTACTTAGCAGTGATCCCAGCTCCAACTAGCTTAGTCAGAGAATTAATGACTCAGAACTAAATGCAGAGGCAGGACAGGCTTCAGGGTCAGCACAGCCCAGGGTCAGCTGCTGCTCCACTTATGTTGGCTTTATCTTCAGGTTGTGATCATGGTGTCAGGACCCCATAGCAACCTTTTGCTTTGCATTAACACCTGACACTTTGGGGACTCAGTCTGAGCACTATGGACATTTGGGCCAGATCATTCTGTGATGTTGTGGAACTGTCCTGTGCATTGCAGGGTGGTTAGCAGCATCCCTGGCCTCACCCCATGAGATGCCACTAGCATTTGTGATCATAAAAAATGTCTCCAGACATTACTGAATGGTTGCTTGGAGGGTATTTGTGCAAAAACATCCTGGTTGAGAGCCACTGGTTTAGAAAGAAAGACAGCCCATTTATTTCATCAGGTGGCTAAGGAAATTTGTTTACTAAGAGAGCCCAAGTTCCCCCCTTTGTCTCACTGCCTCAGTCTGGGTCACTCCCCCACTCCTGACCCGCACCTGTGAGGGGTGGAATTCAGGCTCATCGAGTCCACACTGGAGCTAGGGATGGCATCAGCTTTCCTGAGGCATGAAACTGCATCCTAAATGTGTCTTTATTTTTCTTCCTCTCAGTGAGGACTATGGAAAGAACTTTAAGGATATTACAAATCTCATCAATAACACCTTCATTCGGACTGAATTTGGCATGGCTATTGGTCCTGAGAACTCTGGAAAGGTGAGACTCGTTCGTGCATGTGTAGAGCTGTGCTTGATGCCACACTTGGGCGCTCAGGTGTTAATGTTGGAATGATCCAGAGATACATAGCAGTGTATTTAGTTTGCTATTACTGTGTTTTAAACATAAAACCTAGTTTAATACTGATCACAAAAGAACTGGATTGGTTCCTTTTTGGCCTCTGTCCACTGCCGGAAGCCGGTCCATCCTTGCTGCTTGACAAAGTTGCTGCAGGGAAGAAACATCTGCACAGCATATGTTTCAAGGGACCTGGCGTATATGGCATACTGTTCTTAATATGTTTGCTCCCCTTCTTGGCGCTATGTGTTTTAACCAAGGTCACCTCTCCGAGAAAGGTTGTTTCCCCAGGTAGGGATTTTCCCCTTAAGTTAGGGAGGGAATAAAACCTCTTAACCCCTTCCCCAGCAACCTAGGACAGAACATGGCAGGAGAACCTGGACAGAACCTGGTGACCGAACCTGGCTGGAGAACCTAGACAGAACTTGGCTGAAGAACCTGGCAACAGAACCTGGTGACAGAACTTGGCTGGAGAACCTACACAGAACTTGGCTGGAGATCCTGGCTAGGCTGCTGATCAACTGAACGCTGTCTCCGTGTCATTCCTTCTTTGCCAACTCCGTCCACACCTTTGGGGACCCCTGGAACCCCAGCAGTCCACGATGCACCCAAACTCTTAGGTGGCAGCTGGTTAGCATTACAGTGTACGCTCCTAAGACACACATTTTATTTTAGTCTTTGGCAAACTGGCTGATCTCAAACTGACCGGCTTGCATCCAGATAGACATGATGCGCTAGCTCAATTCAGGATAATATTTTTTGATAAGACTAACACTTAAGGAGTGGGGTGCACCAACTAATCTGTCTTTATAACTCTTACTTTGGGAACTGAAATTTTCTTAACTGATGTCTTGTGGAAGTGGTGTGGGACTTCCTGAGCTTTCATAGTGTCATACCCTGAATCTGAATTGCCTTCTTCCTAACCAGGTGATTTTAACAGCAGAGGTATCTGGAGGAAGTCCCGGAGGAAGAATCTTCAGATCGTCAGATTTTGCAAAGAATTTTGTTCAGACCAATCTCCCATTTCATCCTCTGACTCAGATGATGTATAGCCCTCAGAATTCCAATTATCTTTTAGCCCTCAGCACTGAAGTAAGTCTCCTTGAAGAAGTTACCTTGCCCTTTGCATTTTTATCCTCTAACATCTAGCCTTGAAAGGCCCCTTTAGCTAATAATTTTATGAAGTATTTGACTGATTTCTGGTGACTTTGTATGTCATGAAATATATATCTTTTTGTGTTTTGTCCTATTTGGTAAAAGGCACAATTACCATGTACTATCTATTCCACATAAGTATGATATCTAGTTGTCATTACAATTTTTAAAATATTTATTTATTACATTGACTGGGGTGACAGTGATCAACATGATCATATAGGGTTCAGGTGTGGGTTTCTGTTACAAGGTCTTATATTGCACTGTGTGCCCACCACCCCAAGCCAGATCTTCTCCTGTCAGCTTCATTACAGTTTTTAAAAGTGAATAGATGTGTACTATTGGAAAACTGAATTAGAACACGGTGTAATGTAATCATCCTTGTTCTGCAAGGGACAAGCATAGATTGTCACAGTCCTGATGTCATTGTTTCTTTCCTGTGGCCAAACCACATCTTTCTAATTTTTCTTTTTTGTTTGTTGCATAGTCTATCAAGCATATTGATTTCGGTCTTCAACACTCATGTATTAAGTATCCAGTCTTAAATCCCTGCGCCCCACCCCAGTCCGGTGCTCTTCCCAGAAGCCAGTGCCCCTCCCTCTCTCCTGAAATTCCCTGCGGAGCTCGTGCAGCTTTCCTTTCACAAGGACCAGTCTCCTTTATTGTGGATGCTAAGGGCCCAAAGTGGCCGAGTTGCTCGACTATGACAATCGCCATTACACTGCATATTTAGATGGCTCTTTCACTCCTTATTTCTTAGAGTGTGGTCTGCTGACCAAAACATCAGAAACCCCAGAAGCTGATTTAAATGCAGATTCCTAGGCCCCACCCCACACAGTACATCAGTGACTTTTGATGGCGAGGTTTTTACCAGCTCCCCAGCTGAGCCTGCCCACTAAAATTTGAGAATCATTGCTATGATGATGGTTCTTGGGACAGAAACAGGATTATCAGATGTGGCTGAGCAAAGGGGTGGCAAAAGGAAGGGAAAGGGCACTGGAAGACAGGTCTGGCTCTGGGCTCTGTGGGCAGATTTGAGCAGAGGTAAGGCTGTAGGGCTCAAGGAAGGCCAGAGGTAAGCTTAGCCCAAAGGAGGCCAGAGGAAGGAAACTAGCCTGCTGGGTATGCTACAGACTTTCAAGAAACAATTCCTGGAAATTCCTTCCACCAGCTTGAGCTGAAAGCCCTTCAGGGAGCAGAGACCTCTTAGGAGTGGACAGAACCATCCATCTCTCCTTTGACCATCCCATTGCCATTACCAAGTTATCTTCAGGTGGTTGAAACAGGCTGTCCCCAGCAAGAGCTGGGAACAACCTGCTTTTATATCTGAAATTACTTTCAATTAAGGAAGTGCAGATAATTGGGGAAGAGAAGATGGACCAGTTTGTACTCAAGTGCAAAGAGGTGATATCAGACCCTTTCCTGTTTCTAAGTACAATTAGGTAAATTAGAAATGCTGAGCATTATCAGAGGAAGAAAATGAAAAGAAAAAAGAATGGTGGGTGGGGAGCACTGAAGGGAAATTCTGCCTCGACCATTTAATCCCAGCTGTACCAGGACATGTCTGTCCCCCTCCACCGAATCTGGGCGCAGTGCAAGTGACAGTCAGTTCTTCATCTTACTGTCTCTGCTGCATTTGAAAGGTTTGGCCAGTCCCTCCTTTTGGGAATTCTGCTTGCTTGGCTTCAGTGACATCATTCCCTTTAGTTCTTCCCTGTGTTCTAACTATTCCTTCTTGGTCTCTCTCTTCAACTCCTTTCAACCGGCCCTTAAATCACTGCTGCCCATTCTACTCAGCAATCTCTTCCACCATTTAACCGCCACTGTGATGTGTCAGATTCTCAGGTCCCCGTGTCTGGTCCTGGCTTCCTCGTGGGGCCTCTGATTCCTGTCTTGCTGCCTCCCTGGGAACCTCTAGCTTCCCACAGGCACCTCAGGCTCAGTTAAATCAACTTCTCTCTGCTCTTCTCTAAGACATACTCTTCTTCTCTTAATCCTTGTACTGGGTAAAGATTCCACAGGACCTCTTATCCCTGAACCAGAATCCAGAGTGATCAACTGCCCCCACCCACCCACATACACAACCCATCCTGCCCTATAGGAAAAGTCCAGTTCTTCTGAAACTAACTTCTCAATTCTCCCTGAGCCTGTTCCTCACAGCCATGGGGTAGGGCCTCACTAACTCTTCATGAATGAAATGTGGCCGTTATTCGCTGCTTTTCCTGCTTCTGGTTTGGACTCTGCAATCCACCTTTCTCATTGTCATCCGAGGGTTCCACCTCCCCTCTCCTGCGTTAGCTGCTCCTCCCCTCACTGGGACTGTGTGCTCCGCACACACCACCATGCTTCTCGCCTCACTGCCTTTGCTAGTCCTAACATCTCCTCTCCCCGTTTGCTTCCTTCTGGTTACACTGCTCATCATTTAAGACTCAGTTCAACTGTCTCCTTCACAAACCGTCTTTGATGCAATGTTCTTTTCCCTACTCTTTCCCGAGGACCATGCTTCCAAACACTGACCATCGTATCACATTTTCTTATCTGGACCTCTAGTTAACTGTGAGCTCCTTGAGAGCAGGGAGTGTGTCTTACTCGTCTTTGTATCCCCAATGCAATGTCTGGAACAGTGCCTGGCACACAGTAGGCACTTCTTAAGCATTTGTTACTTGGAACCTCCCAGACTCCGAAGGGGCCCCTGTAAATCATGTATCTCTGGAGCTCAGGCAGCTCAGATGGAACGTCAGTGTATGTTTACTGTCCCAGATGATTAGATATGAATTATTAAAGGTCATACAAGCAGCTGCACAGGATAAAGCTGGAATTTTGATAAGTCATTTATAATCTTTCAGAATGGCCTGTGGGTGTCCAAGAATTTTGGGGGAAAATGGGAAGAAATCCACAAAGCAGTATGTTTGGCCAAATGGTGAGTAACAGAAGACTCCATCTGTGCAGAGCCCTAAACCGTTCCTGACAGCGCTGCCAAAAGTCACATGACTAAATGTTGAGCACTTACTATGTGCCAAATACTCTTGAGGGTGCCACAAGGGATACAAGAGGGGATATGACACAGGCCTCGACCTGGAGGAGCTTCTCACTCTGCCAGGAAAGACGACGTAGCTTCACTAAACGTTACAGCATAAAGTAGAAAACAAGGCTCACAACTGGGTAGCTGCTGCTGCTGGGGTTTATTCTCCATAAATAGTGACTTCAGTTGGAACAGCATAAAATACAGCTTTGATTTGGGGACTTAGGTACTTCTCTGCCCCCCCTTCCCCAGACTGACACCCCCTCATCTAGAGACTCATTTCAGTTATGAGGAATCGGGAAGAAAGCCCAGAGAGCTTCGCGATGCCAGTCACACCATCCATGCACCAAAACTCATTCACTTTTCTTGGGGACCCCTCAGGTGCCTGCTTAAAGGGGCTGTAGGGGGCTCTGACCAGGGAGTCAAGTCCTAACCGTCTCTGCTGCTAGTCAGGGGCTTAACCTCTCTGGGCTTTAGTTTTTCCCTTCTGTCTACGAACAGAGATTTGTTTGAGGATTTGGGAGATGTCTGGACAAAAACTAAGAGCCTTTATACCTCCGAAATTCTTGATTAGGCTCAGACTCTTGCTTAGAGCCTCTTTGTTCTTTCTCTTTGGCTAATTTCAGAAAATTTGTTCATCTGTTTCCCAGTTAATAGCAAATTATTGCCAGAGGTGGGTACATGAGTACTGACAGCAAGCGCACACCAGGAGAACTGCAGAGCAAAGACTGAGAACGGAACAGGATGAAATTATTCAGTGCCAGATCCAGAGCACATACACCTCAGTAACTTCTAGCGGGCACACCATGTTCTAGTTTTATAGGGTTGATGCTCAGTGACCCACAATCCCCAGGGAGTTTCATATTTAATGTCCTCTACTTAGGGAGTCAGGAACATTTGTGATATAGACATTGGCAAATATATCTACCAAAATTCACTAAAATACTAAAAAATGTTGCTTTTCTGGAAAATGCTGGTTAGGTGAGGTTTTTGTAGCACCACTCTGGTACCCATGCCATAGCTGCTTTCATTTTATGGGTTTGTTACTTATATGGTCTTTTATGGAAGGAAGTGGCCTTTAAAGTAACTAAGTTAACAAATTGTTTCACTGTAGGATGTAATCAAAACTATAGGAATTTTGATCACTAAAACTGGTCTTTATGTACATATCACCACAAGGTACACTTTAAATATCTTACAATTTCATTTGTAAATTATACTTCAATAAAGCTAAAAGAAACAAACAGAAAGGTCTTTAAAACTAAAGAGTTATTTTAATATGGTATTTTTTTAAAATAGATTTTTATTGATTTCAGAGAGGAAGGGAGACGGGGAGAGAGAAACATCAATGATGAGAGAGAATCATTGATCAGCTGCCTCCTGCACATCCCCTACTAGGGATTGAGCCCACAACCTAGGCATGTGCCCTTGCCCAGAATCGAACCCAGAACCTTCCACTCCACAGGCCGATGCTCTATCCACTGAGGAAAACTGGCTAGTGCTTAAAATGGTATTTTACTTTATATTCTATACAAGATTTTTTACTTTTGTAACTCGTTTCTTTGATTAGTGTCTAAGTATAAGCTAACTGGGTTGCTGATAACTGTTTACTCACCTTTTAGATCTTTGATCGCTAGGAGTTGACAGCTGAAGTTCTGAAAGAACATGCACAGAGCCAGCCCCTTTTGCCAGGGCCAATCTATAAGTACTATTGGCCTGAATCGAGTTCCCTATAAACTCCCTTTCCAAGTTAAAGTTTAAATAATTCAACCTCTGACCCAGTTGTCTGTCTGAGATGAAAGAACTAAATTATTTAGCTCATGCAAAGCATTAAGCTAGGTTCTGAGGGGGAACAACAAAGCAGAAAACTTAGTACCTGCCCAGCAGTGAAGTGGAAGAGATAAGGCACACGTTAGTGGTTAGCGTGGCTAAGTGGGAGGCTGAGGAATGCACGCGCTTTCCGGCAGAGCCTCTCCTTCTCAGCACTAAGGACATTTTGGACCGGACTGTTCTTTGTTGTGGGGGCGTCCTGGGCCTTGTAGGATGTTTAGCAGCATCTCTGGCCTCTACCCACTATATACTAGTAATAACTTCTTAAGAGCAAATGCTAGAGGCAGATCTGGAGAGTGTAGGTAGACCAGTTAGACAAGCTGGAAGAGAAGTTCAGAGGACTGTGGCAAATGCCTGGGGCCAGGCTCTGGGGAACCCTGACAGTGAGCTGTCAGAGTCCAGAGTTGCTGCTTTCACTAGTACCTATGGAGGAGGCTTACTAAACTTGCTTGGAGCTTCGTGACAAAGGTTGACATTGCTTTAACACCTGGAACCATGTCTTTTCCCTGTCTTTGCCTCATTGCAGGGGATCAGAAAACACCATCTTCTTCACTACCCACGTGAATGGCTCCTGCAGTAAGTATATTTTAGTCCCAGAAGAGTGTCCCATCCATTCGTGGTAGAATATTCTGGGTCATAAGAGGTAGAAATATCAAAGTTCCTTCCATTCTTCTATAATTTTAATAGCTAATATAGTTGTTAATTATTTTTTAAAATCTTGAAAGTACAAACTAATTACTATACTGTGCCTAGATCAAATAAAACTGCAGGCTGTACAAAGAGACGCTATACTTAATTTCAGCAGTGTATTTACATAAAGTAAACATTAAGTAATAGATCAAAATGCCTGGTGATTTCTGCGAAAGAGCTTGAATTGTGTTTATCAGTGGAAGCCAGTGGCTTTCCAATCAGTGGCACAGTTTCAAAGCAGAAAGCGTAATTTTTTTATTTATTCATTCAACAAACTCATTCATTTATTCATTTGAGCACCTGCAGTAGTATGCTAAACACTACCTAAGGATGAAGAGAACAAGAGACCCAAGGCTACTCTCATGTTAAATTCAAGTAGGGATGAAGAGATAGATGATCAACAAGAAAACCAAAACTCAAACAACTTAAAATAGAAGAAGATAAGTTCAAGTTATGTCATGAAGGAAGTAAATAGGATGCTGTGGCTGTGACTTTTATGCAACATTGTATTGGAATTAACTAAACTCTATCTGTCCAAGGTAGAACCTCACATGTATAAACATAAAACCCACATGTGAATTCCCCGTGTCTAATGCCACATCAGTTTATATCCTTATTTGATTAATATGCACAGGATTAGAAATCCTGTAGCTGTGAAATTCAGAACATTCTAAAACAGCTGTCTGAACTGGAGGCTCACTAGGCAGTGGCATTGTAATTACTACTACATCTTGTTTAAGAAGCTGACCTTGGGGCACTGGAATTATGGAGGACTTCAGATTTGGGAAAAAGCTTCAAAACCATTGGTGTGAAAATCTACTCATTTGGTCTTGGGGGACGTTTCCTTTTTGCCTCTGTGATGGCTGACAAGGTGAGTGTTTGCCTCTTCTCTTTGGATTCTAACGTTTCTGTAACTATGCCTCCTGTAGATCCCTTTACTCCTTGTACTGACGGAGTTGCTTGCCTTTTTGCAATCTATATATATAAAAGGCTAAGTGACCAACCGTACTGACCAGCCGGTACATATGACGCTCACTGGCAATTTAAAAATAAATGTTGACTCGAGCATGTGCAATACATGTAAAACTCTCGCTGGTGCCAATCACACGTGTGCGTTTCAAGCTGTCATTGTCGATTGTGAATTTGGTTGTTTTTGTTGACATTCTGAAGCTGAAAGAAAGCGGTGGCGTTGACAGAATATGTCTGAAGACTAACTATTGGCACAACTGTTCCCGTCTGACACTGGCCTCCCATTTAAATTAATTCGAAGACAGTTTCCCGTGATGCCAGCATTTGTGATGACTACTAATAAATCACAAGGACAAACTCTAGACAGAGTAGGAATATTCCTACCTAAATCCATTTTCAGACATGGTCAGTCATACGTTGCTTTCTCTCACATTCGAAGAACTTGTGACATTAAAGTTAAAATTGTATTGTGAATACTTCATCACAAGGGATATTAGTCAAGCACTCTGAAAGTGTTTTTACTCTTAATGTGGTATACAGGGAGATATTAGAATAAGTTTAATCAATTTATCAGTCATTGTTTTTATCAGTGTTGCTTTTATATCATGTCTTTGTTGTATCATGTTATTGTGTATTAATTTATTTTCATATACATTTTACTAATTTTCTTTCATCTCTGACACTTCTATTATAGAGAAAGGGTGAATAGTGATATTAAAATATTTCTTCTAATTAATTTCCTATCAATGTGCACGAATCTGTGCACCAGGCCACTGGTATTTGATATCACTCTAAGATTTGCGGGCGATTCTTTTAGAGAGACTGACTGACTCTTCTGGGCTATCCTGGCACTTCAGCCTGTCACCACCACACGAATTCTGGTGTCTGTTTTGGGATATGTAGACGCAGTGTTTGGGCTTTACTCACACATGGATATATGCAGTCCATTTGTTTCAGTAATAATAATAGAAATAGGTGACATTCATTGAGTACATAACAGTGAACAAAACAGATAAATGTCCTGTTCACAGAGCTTATAGTTTAGTAGGGGAGATAGATACTAAACTAATAAATATGATGTAATATCAGGTCAGAATTAAAGCTACGAAGAAATCTAAAGCAGCATAAGGAAATAGAAAGTGACAGGAAGTGGAGCAGGGCTGTTTTAGGTGGGGTGGTTTGGACGTGCTCTCTGAGACCTGACTGGGGTGAGAGCATAGCTATGTGGACATCTAGGCTCAGGGAACAGGACGTGCACAGACCTCAGGCTGGAGCATGCTTGACATATCAAAGAAAAGTGACAAGGGCAGTCCAAAGAAGAGGAGCCAGCAGCCAAATCATTAAGGGCCTTTATAAGTGGTGATTACGACCTTGGCTTTTATTCTTGTGTTGGGAAGCTGGGAAAGGGTTGTGAGCAGGGTGTGGTGTAATCTGACTTCTTGACAGAATAAGTATGCGCAGAGTAGTCTACCGAGGCAGGAATGGCAGAGCCAGAGCAGCTGGGAGGCCGTTAGAGTAGTGTGAGGGGGGAGAGGGAGCAAGTGGTGAGATGGTGGGTGTGTTTTTCAATGTATTGCCAGTAGGATTTGCTGATGGATTAATGTGGATTGTGAGAGAATGAGAGAAACTAAAAATAACGTTAGTCTTTGGCCCAAGCAACTGACTGAATAGTGGTACCATGTACTAAAATGGCAAAGACTGTAGGAGAAGCATGTTTGGGGGAGGATGATCAAGAATTCAGTTTTGGATGTGAGATGCCTGTTAGATATCTAAGTGGAAATGTCATGTTAGTATTTGGTTATCTCCCCAAATTATATGTGTTTAGAGCCATGTGATTGGATGATATCTTCTGGAGGATGGGTAGGTAGAGCAGAGTGGGAGGACTGAGCACGCCCTGAAGCACCCACCACTGAAAGGTTGGAAGGAGATGGGGAGCCCAGCAAAGAAGACTGGGAGGGAGGCACCAGTGAGGCAGGGCGAATAGGACAAGGCGAGATTGTGAAAGCCACGTGTGAAAGGTGTTTCAGGAAGGGCGAAGTGGTCAGCTGTGCTAAACTTAGCTGAGATGTTGAATTAGATGAGTGCTGGGAATTAGCCACTGGAGCTGGCAAAATGGAGGTTGTTGGTGAGCTTGACTGAAGCCATTTCATCGCAGCGCTGAGGTGAAAAAACTGGTCAGAGGGTGTTCAGAGAGAATTGGAGCTGGCTAAGCAGACAGTAACTACAGTAACTCCCTCGAGCAGTTTTGTAATTATCCTCCCAACAACCCTATAAGCTACTACTGTTACTTCAGTTTCTATGTGAGCAAACTGAGTAACTTGCCTGGAGTCACCCGGAGGTGGAACCCTGGTGGAAATCAGACTGATTCCAGACGTAGCCTCCTACTCTGGACCACAGTTACACAAAACCAAAATTCCACTGTGTGCTCTTGAACTTTAACCTCTGCCTATAACAATGAGAGTAAGATTCAAAGTGAACATCTAAGTGTATAAGTTTTAGAAAAATACATAACTGTACGTGTCCCTGAACTTTAAAGAGTATTTAACACAAGAAGGCCCTGGAAGTCAGTCTCATGCCCTAGCTAGTTGTGTCTAGTACAGCCGTGGGCAAACTACGGCCCGCGGGCCGGATCAGGCCTGTTTGAAATGAATAAAACTATTGAAAAAAAAGACTGTACCCTTTTATGTAATTATGTTTACTTTGAATTTATATTAGTTCACACAAACACTCCATCCATGCTTTCGTTCCGGCCCTCCGGTCCAGTTTAAGAACCCATTGTGGCCCTCGAGTCAAAAAGTTTGCCCACCCCTGGTCTAGTAGCTATTTTAAACTATTTATGAGGAAGTATGTGTTAATTACATCCTTAACAGACTCCTTTAACAGCTAAATCCCTGATCAGATTCCTTTTATTAATTTCTGACACTCCTTGGCCTCTTCCCAGCCGGTGCACATTCCCCTCCTTATGGCTGTTCTGAGAGACTTCCATAAAGAGATGTCACATATTGACTTCCTTGTGATCACCCAAGCATGGCTTTCATCTCCATTTTCTAGACCCTTCGTTATCTACTTCTTTGCCTTATACCAAGACTGTGTCAAAGAGACCAAATCTTTATGCAGCAATCCGCACTTAAGAATTATCTGAGCACGAATATGTGAATGGCTATAAAGCCAAGTCAGGGATGGTACCATGACATCCTTGGCTCCGATGAAGGAGCTCGGAATGTCAGAGGTTGGGAGGATATCTTTCAGGCCACACTGGAAGAAGAAGCCAGGATAGTTTTGCTTACAATAAAATGGATTGTCGCATTGCCTGGAACTTTGCTAGAGGTTGGAAATTGCTAGGTAGTTGCTACTGGGACCTTTCATTTATATCAGTTATACCCAGTGAGGAAATGGATAATGATACTTGTAATTATTAATAATGTACCTAGTATGTCCCTGCACATGGTATCTTGGAAGAAAATTAAAAAGGTGTATGTTGGCATTTGTTCCAGGATACAACAAGAAGGATCCATGTGTCAACTGATCAAGGGGACACGTGGAGTATGGCCCAGCTGCCCTCTGTGGGGCAGGAGCAGTTCTACTCTATTCTAGCAGCCAGTGATGACATGGTGTTCATGCACGTAGACGAGCCTGGAGGTAAGAGCGTTTCAGAGGCCCACCCTTGAATTTATAGAGCTCGAAGCTGCAAGCCCTACTTTTAGTAGCTTTTTTTCTTACCCCTAGGAATTTATTAGTGCCCTACTGAGTATTTTTGTCTTAGAAAATGTAACCTCTGTTAAAAGGGGCCACTTGTTTTGACATTGTCTCGTTTGTGTGCATATCCAAGGGTCTACAACAATGCTGCTCAAAGAATGCTCAGAGGATGGGCACTAATTGGCAAACTCTGTTACTGAATAAGTAGAGGAAGTGAGAGCATGCATTTAGAAGCTCTTATACCTATTTGACAAAGTAATTTTAGATGTGTTTAATCTAATGATAAAAGAGTTGGTGGTTATATTTCATTGTTCTAGTGATACATTTTTATGCTATTTTACAAAAGCATTGGTTTGTGACATAGTGGAAATTTAAAAATTGATCTTTCATCACAGGCAGTTTGAGAAGCATTGCTCCAGAGGTTAAGATTAACAGAAGTGTAAGCTATGAATCTAAATACAGTGCCTCTGCCACCAAAATACATCTTGGAAGAGCTTTTCTGTAGCATCTGATTAACTCATTCAACAAACTCAGCACCTGCCATATTCCAAGCACTAAGTAACAGGGATACTAGAATTAAAGATGGACACAAGGATCAAAGATCTGGAGTATCAAAATAAAATAAAAAAGATCTTGAATATCAAACCTTGATTGGGTCTCTGGTCTGTGTCTACATCATGAAGAGAGATGGTTGGCTAATGTGCAATGATTCAGTCATGTGTATGGTTAGACTTTTGTTGCCTTGCTGTTCCCTCCCAAGACATAGTGTTTTTGTTTGTTTGCCTATTTCAGATACTGGGTTTGGCACCATCTTTACCTCTGACGATCGAGGCATTGTCTATTCCAAGTCCTTGGACCGACATCTCTACACCACCACAGGTGGTGAGACGGACTTCACCAACGTGACCTCCCTCCGTGGGGTCTACATAACAAGTGTGCTCTCTGAAGGTGAGTCTTGCTTGGCACAGCTGTCCTTCAGCTGAACATGGTGAGAGTAGAGGCCTTTGGGGAGACTGATGGTCCTGTCCCCCAGAAAGATTGCTTACCTTAGCCAGCAGCCTACCTGTGTCAATTCTGGCTACACTTTTAAGTGAGTTATGGTAAATAGAACTAAGAAAGAGAGAGGGCACAGCAGTAGCCAGCCAGGCTTCTTGCGTTCTGCTCAGTGCTTTGCAGTGCTCACCTTCATTAAACACACACATTAGTCTAGAGCACAGAGCTGACCACCCAGGGAGCCTCTGAAGGTTTTGTTTATTTACATATTTATTCTTTTATAGGAGGTGGGCTGTTTGTTTTTGTAAAGACCTTTGCAATGGTCCACAGGACCAAGTGATCTTGGCCCCCTATTTCCTCCCTGACCTCACTTCTCCCTCTTCTCTCCCTCTCCCTCCACTCTAGTCACTCCAGCTCTCAGTTCTCTGCCAATCCCCCTAAATCCACCAGGTTCACATGCTTGTGGTTTGGAGATGTGCACGGACTGTTCTCTGTTTTCCAAATATCTGCAGGGCTGACATCTCTTCCTTCCAGTCTCTGTTCATATTTACTTTCTGAATGAGACCTGCCATTGACTATCCTATTCTAAATTTCAGTCTGCCCTCCCCCATTCACACACACACACCGTCAGTCCCCCTCTAACTATGCAGGTTTTTCCATTTTCTAACACACTATGAATTTACCTGTTTATCACGTCTAGTGTTTGTCTGTCTCAGCCTACTAGAATGTAGTTTCACAAAGATGTGGTATTTGTGTGTGTGTGGTTTTTTGTTTGTTGTTTTTTCAGGTTTGTTTCACATAGTGGGCACACAACAATATTTATTAAGCCTTGGCCGGTATGGCTCAGTTGGTCGGAGAAACAGAACTTGTTAGGGTTCTCCCAGTGTATAGGGCTTAATGCACTCTCTTCCCGTTCAGATAATTCTATCCAGACTATGATCACTTTTGACCAAGGAGGAAGGTGGAAGCACCTGAGGAAGCCTGAGGACAGTGAATGTGATGCTACAGCAAAAAACAAGAATGAGGTTTGTCTGACTCCACTGTCACATGTATTTGGAGCAGAGCAGGCACTCTGTTCTGCTCCTGTTGCGCCAGTTCTTTGAATAGTGAAGTTCAGTACTTGATTAGGATTACAGGTAAAGGTGGAAAGCTTGAAAATGAGAGTAATGAAATTAACTTAGAATGTAAGAACTAGGGACTGCGAAGAAAGGCCAAGATACTATGGATTGTCTTCTAAAGAAAAACAAAACTGAGGGCTAACAATTTGTGTTTTGCAAAACTGCTGAATGGAAACAAAATGGACATATGGGTCGGGGATTAGTTAGGAATCAGCACGGCAGCTCTGAGACATTAGGAATTCTGCGAAAGCCACAGGCCACCGTTCCTGAGCAGGGCAAAGCCATGCTGGCCATTAACAAGAGAAGAGAACTTGGCCTTGTCTTCCCCTCTGCCTGGGTGCCACATAACTGGGGGGTACAGGTGGTGACCCCTAGGAGAGACCTAGAACTAGGAATACAAAGGTGTTGCTCAGGAAATCCCAGATTCTGAGAGTGACAGGTCTTGACAGGCAAGAGAAAAAGAAAAGAGAAACAAGCTTTGTGCCTGGCTCTTTCAGAATCTGAGAGGTGCCTAGGGGAGCACTAAGAGAGTTTTCTTTCAAAAAGGACAGTTTGGGTAGTTCTAAGCTCTCCTCAATACCTGTGGCTAACATGCACTCTACTCTTCTAGGCTGGGTTTTCTGTTTTGTTTTCAGAGCCTCACAGTGTGAGATTAAGTGTACCTTCCCCACCCACAATGCTCTCTCTCCCTTCTCCTCAGCAGTACTGTGGAGTCTTTCCCTTCTGCTCCCTTTTCCCCACCCCCCTGCGTGCCCCAGGAGGGGCGGGCCTCCAGTGGCCTCTGCTTGCCTGGCTCTCCTCCCGCTCCCATGCCCCTCCCTCCTCAGCATTTCCTGGCTCCCCTTTGCCTGTGAATAAAGGCTTCCACCTGGTGACTGAAGGGCCTCTCCTCCCCTGGCAGACTGCCTTCTGCCTTTTCAATGTCACGTCCCATTTCATCACTGACACACCCCTTGCTATCATCCTCTGCTGCTCCTCAACCTCCACATGTGCCCTGCCCCTGTGGCCTTGCCCTCGTTGTTCCTGGGAAAGCTGGCCTGTCTCCCCGACCCCGATTCATTAGAACTTGTGAAATCCTAACCATCCTCACTGCCCATCTTCAGTTAGATTCAACCATTCCTCTTTGTTTTATTAATAGTTTGCCCGAACCTCTTTTTTTGTAGTAAAATATACATGACATAAAATTAACATTTTAACCAATTTGAACCTCTTTTAAAGCAGTAACTTTTGCTCTGCGTTGTACCTCAACTAGTTTTAGAGAAATATTTCTCTTTTTTAAAAAAATCTCGATTTACTAATTTCAGAGAGGAAGGGAGAGGGAGAGAGAGAGAGAGATAGAAACATCAATGATGAAAGAGAATCACTGATTGGCTGCCTCCTGCATGCCCTCTACTGGGGATCGAGCCCGCAATCCGGGCATGTGCCTTTGACTGGAATTGAACCTGGGACCCTTCAGTCTGCAGGCCAACGCTCTATCCACTGAGCCAAACCATCTAGGATGAGAAATATTTCTTAAAGACAAGGCTGGATCCTGGCGAGGTGGCTTAGTTGGTTGGAGCATCATCCTGCACACCAAAAGGTTGTGGGTTTGATTCCTGGTCCAGTCAGGTCACACCTGTACACCAAAAGGTTGTGGGTTCAATTCCTGGCCCAGTCAGGTCACATACCTAGGTTGTGGGTTATATCCCCAGTTGGGGTGTGTATGGGAGGCAACAGATTGATGTTTCTCTCTCTTTCTCTCCTTCCTTCCTCTCTGCCCCTCCTCCTCCTCCTCTAAACATGTCTTTGGATGAGGATTAAAACACACACACACACACACACACACACACAGAACTAGGTCTTATTTCCAATCACCACCACGTCTTGTACAGTATCTGAAATATGTCTGGCATTCATCAGGTTTATTTATGTGGAACGTGCATGTCCACAGATGACCTCAAAAGCACTGGGGGTTACAAATAAGTTTAGGGTGTAGGCAAATTCACAGAATCTATAAATAGTGAGGGCTGACCACACACACGCACACACACACACACACACACACACACGCACACACACACACACACACACACACACACACAAACAGAACTAGGTCTTATTTCCAATCACCACCACATCTTGTACAGTATCTGAAATATGTCCGGCATTCATCAGGTTTATTTATGTGGAATGGGGAGTTATTGTTTAGTTTTGCAAGATTAGAAAGTTCTAGAGAAGGATGGTGGTGATGGTTGCACAATAGTGTGAATGTACTTACACTATTGAACTGCACACTTAAAGATGGTTAAAGTAGTAATTGTTATGGTATGTGTATTTTACCATAATTTTTAAAAAAGAGTATCCCACTGAGGTCTGGGTTAGAGTTATTAGAAGGCTCTGTGAATGAGTAAAAAATTCCGCCTTTGGTTTTAACCCCTATAAGAAAACCACCGAACATGGCTTTTACCATCCTCTGGAGGATTTCTTGCATGATAATGGTATTTGGGGTTATTTCACAGACACCCATCAGAGAGAGTAACATGACTTTCCCCTTTCCCAAATCTTCAGTGGCCTTTTTCCTATCACAAGAGGCATGATGGGAAGTAATCAGAAGAAATTTACTCAAAATTAGCCTCTTGGCAGTAAGTCCTGTCTGTTTCGTTGCTGCTCTGTGCTGAGGAGACGATGGATTGTGTTGCAGGCAGCGTGGGAGATGCCATCTCAGTCATGGTCCCGGACGTGTACATCTCAGACGATGGGGGTTACTCCTGGGCGAAGATGCTGGAAGGACCCCACTTCTACACCATCCTGGATTCCGGAGGCATCATCGTGGCCATTGAGCACAGCAGCCGTCCTATCAATGTGATTAAGTATGCATGAGCTCAGCTCCACCCACACTTTCTGCATAAAGGGCAACTGTGGGAAGTATTCCAGTTCACTGGGGGGAAGTTGCACGCCCTGATTTAAATTTGTGCATTCTGCAGAACTGTAGGGAAGGTTTTTAAAGGGATTGCATTTAGAGCAACTCAGATTAAATGGCTTGCTTTTTCCTCTGACTTCAAGTTAACACTTTTTGCCACTTCTTTCTCTCCACAAGATTATTGTGGAAGTGTCTGAACATTCTGGATGGGGAATGACTCCTTAAGCAAAGGCTCATAATAGATCATTTCTGTTTGTTGATTTGGAAGCCCATTCTTACATGGGTCACTACTTTCTCTTTCCTTGGAAGGAAATTTTGTAAAGGCATTTTCTTCCATACACTCTGAATGAGTCCCTTTTCTTACCCTGTTAACTAAGCTATCACCTAAACATGAGGGCTCTTCTCTGATTTGGACCTAACAGCGGAGTGGTTTCCTGATAGTCCCATACATATTGATCCTCTGTTGTGATCTTTCTCTGATTGGGGTTTCAGGTTCTCCACAGACGAAGGTCAGTGCTGGCAAACCTATACGTTCACCAGGGAGCCCATCTACTTTACCGGCCTGGCTTCGGAACCTGGAGCAAGGTCCATGAATATCAGCATCTGGGGTTTCACTGAAACTTTCCTGACACGTCAGTGGGTCTCCTACACCATCGATTTTAAAGATGTCCTTAAAAGGAACTGTGAGTGTCTTCTTTGACCTTTCCTACCAAAAACTTGTAAGCCCATTTTTCTAAATAGCCAATTCAGTTTAATTTTTTTCCACTGGAAGAAGAAAATGCATAAAGTTTAACGTTATGAAAAAATTTGTTCAGCACCTGCTCTTTAACAGGCTCTGTGCTGGTCTTCATATCCCAAAGGATAAAAACCTGATCCATAGGTTTTTAGACCATAGCCTTTGAGTCCTTTTTCCAAGAGTGGATGATATGACAGGTTAACTGTCATCAACAGTCCTCATTTGACATCTAGTCGACTACAGTTAAAAGTCTAGAGACAGAATGTTTTCCCTTCTGTTTGAAGCAAACGAACCCATAGTGAAATGAACCTATGCTTTTGGCTCATTGGCATCTTGTCCTAAAGGAAAGCATCTGGTTGCTGACCTTTGGCATCAGTGACAAGACGTCTAGCCAGCAGCCTCTCCGTTTGAAAGGAACCCTAGAGATCCTCGATCCACTTCCCACTTTGAAACAAATACGGGTTTTCCTAATACTCAAATGAGTGGTGAAATGCAAATATCCCTCCTTTGGGATGAGGAAATGCCCATTGCTGGTAGGCTTCAGCTAATGTAATGTGGCTTCACAATTCCAAAACGAAGCGATGGGTTGGGTGAGACATCTCCACTCTTCCTCTCCCTGTTCTTCCTGTCGCCTGGCAGCTGCCTCATGTAGGTGAGCGCTGTGCCAGGCAGTTTCCCGAACAACCTGTCTTTCCTTTAGGTGAAGAGAACGACTATATGATATGGCTGGCTCACTCCACAGACCCTGGAGATTATGGAGATGGCTGCATTTTAGGCTATAAAGAACAGTTCCTTCGGCTACGCAAGTCATCTGTCTGTCAGAATGGCCGGGACTATGCGGTGACCAAGCAGCCGTCCGTCTGTCTCTGCTCCCTGGAGGACTTCCTCTGGTACCAGCATCCCTCAGCCCCTTTCCTGTGCCAGGGGAAGTGGAACACAGTTGTCTTACAGGATTGAACAATATTTCAATCCTTTTCTTTCCCTCCTTCCCCAAGAGCAGAGAACTGCTGCTGCTTATTAAGGAAATTGAGGCACAGAGAAAGGGAACCAAAGTCATTAATAATTGGACAGATGATATTATCATATTGAACAGTTAATTATTGGGCAGAGCCAGCAGCAACCCCCAGAAATCCTGACTTGGCAATGATAGTAAGGAGGGAGATATGTAAGGAGGAAGAGATTAAAAAATAGAGAAGGTGATGAGGTACAAACACCAAGGAAAGTGGCACAGGAGCTAAGAGGACATTGGACTTCAGCAGAGAGCCCGTCAGCATGAGTTCAGTAGGTGGCACTTAGGTTTTGGGTCATCAGCAGAACTGAAGGCAAAAAGAGTGCTTCTGTCCTGAGACACTAGGTGACAGCAGTATACTTACGGTCCCTGTGTCCCATCAGGGTTTAGAAGCCACCAAGGTGAACTCCCAGACTCAGGACCCTCCAGGCTTAAGGATCAGTGATGTGGCTGGCATGGGGTTAGTGATGATACAAGGGCGAGGGAGTCCCTAGGTAGTCTAAGCAAGATAACTTAAGGCAAATAAGAAGGACTGATTCACCTCATAGGTAGTCATCTTATGGAACTTGTCACATTCCCTCAAAACACAGGTGACAGAATACAGGACCAAGCAAACCCAAGTCTGACCTTGGGGGGTCCTCCTGTGTGGCTCATATCTGTCTGTGGAATGGCCAGAGGTCCTCCTCTCCCCGTTTCCACAGGGGAAGTGTCACTCACATCACTTGTTTTGTTACAGTAGGGCTAGAGATCCTTGAAACTCCAAGGGCTGTCCCCATCCCGGACTGCACATGGGCTGGCTCTTCATTACTGAGCTGGTTTCCGACGTGCTGTGCTTCTCCGGAGCTCTGAGCCATTGGACACGCTGCTCCACAGCCTGCAACGTCTCCCACGTCCCTGCCTGACCCCACGCCTGGTGGATTCCTTTAGTGCTTAGTTCAGATAGCACCTCTTTAAAGCGTTCCAGTTTTCCCTCATCTAGGCTCCCACAGAACCCCTGTCACAGCTTTTACCGTGTTTTAATCATTGTGTATAGGTTTGCCTCCAGCCCCAAACTCCAGG